AGGCTGGGTGTGGTGGCTCAGCCTGTAGTCCCAGCACTTTGGGAGGCTGAGACAGGAGTATTGCTTGAGCCCAGGGGTTTGAGACCAGCCTGGGCAATATGGAGAGATCCTGTCTCTAAAAAAAAAAAAAAAAAAAAAGGAAGAAAGAAAGAAAGAAAAAGGAAAAGTCTAGCAAAACTAAATCATTCCTCACTCCTTAATAGCTGTCAAATCCTGCCTATCCTTTAAGGTTCAGTGAAAGAGAAAAGTAAACTTTATTGAGCACTTACTATCACAGAGCTGAATGCTGTACATAATGACTCACTTAATATTCCAACAACTCTGCAGTTTAGGTATTCCAATTTTAAGTTTACAATAGAGAAAACATAGGCCTGGAGATATTAGTTTAGATGCCTGAAAATGAGTGAGTGAGCTAGGATTGGGATTCTAGTTTATTTGGCTGTAAAAGCCCTTGCTCTTTTTAAGTAATCCGTGAGCCTTACAAATCTCCACTATTCTGGCCACTGAGGTTGAACTGTAAATAAAATTTTATAAATAAAACAATTTTAAGGATCATTGCAGCTTATGTCTCTATGACCTTTAATGCTGAATGTAGGTTATTATCCAAAAGCCAAAAACAAAATAAAATTTGTGTTTTCTAGGCAATTCAGAAATAAGGACAGAATTGTAGTTTGAGAATAGTTCCGAAGACGTTTTAGCTTGGGATTTGTAGAGCAAACACAGATGAAAAGGAGGTCAGAATGATGATGAGATGGTTAGAAGAAAGAGGAAACATGCAGATAGGTCTTGAAAAATCACTAAAATTTCCTTCAGATTAGTGATTTTACTTACAAAGTACTTTCCTTGAAATTGTAGCTTTAAAAGAAAGAGAAGCATTAGATTACTACTGAGTTATTGGAGTTCATGTCTGTAAGTAAATGCTTTATTGTCATAAGACAGCTTTCTTATCTAAACTGAGAGGGAGCAAATAATTTTTCACTTTTTTACAACAATTTTTAAAATTTAAGTAAAATATAGACATTTAAGTATAACATATACACAAATCCTAAGTAAAAATAGCTTGCCTCATTATCAAGAAGTGAACATATGTAACCAGCCAGGAAATAGAATATTACTGGAATCAAAGAAGTCTTTCTAAGTACCTCCTCCCAATGATTATCCCTTCCTTTTCCCCAAAGATAAACAACTTCCTGATGTCTAAGACCATACATTACTTTTGTTTGCTTTTCAACTTTTCATTATTCTTTATGTTATTCTATATATTCCTTGCCTTGGATTTCTTTCGCTTAGCACTATGTTTGTAAGCTTGATCCATGGACATGTCAATTTGTTCATTTTAATTATATAAAGTATGTGATTATATAAAATGCTGTAATTTATTCGTTTTTTCCAATAGTGGACAATTTTCATTGTTTCTAGTTTTTGGCTATTAAGAATCATGTGGCTATGTGTATTCTTGGATATGTCTTTTGTAAACATGTGCATGCATTTCTGTTGGACATATACTCTGCCTAGGAGTAGAACTGCCGAGTCATAGAACTTGCAGTGTATCTTCAACTTTGGTAGATACTACCAATTTTCCAAAGGAATTGTTTCATCTACATAATTTGTGAGGCCCAGCAAGAAGTAAATATGTAGGCCCTCTTGTTCAAAAAGCAGGAAAAAGCCCTATTAAAGATACTTAAATAGAAAGCTTTTTCATTTCTTTTGCAAGCTCTTGACTTGCCATGATGTTTTTTTACTTGCTATTTAGCGTAGTAAAAAAAAAATCATTAAAAATTATTAGCACAAATTTTGCCATTTATCTTTATATTTTGCAACGCTAGTTTTAAATACAAATTTAGAAGGGCATTTAATGCGTATGTGGAATCACCAAAATAACACAATTTGTATTTCAAAGCTTGTATGTATTTATTTTATTCTTAGAACTGTGAAAAAGTCACCCAAAACTAAATCAATTATTTTTATTTCACCTCTTGATACATGCAAACTATACCAACACTCTTTACTTTCAGCTTATTGCAAAGGATAGCCTGAAGAGAAAAGGAAATATGATTGCCATATCTTTCCCTTTCTTTCTGTGTCTTCATTTTGAGTGCAAGTGGTTGACATTTACAGGGAAAGAACACAAGTAAAAAAGAATGTGACAGCTTGTAATCCCAGCACTTTGTGAGGCCAAGGCTGGAGGATTGCTTAAGGCCAGGAGCTCAAGACCAGCCTGGGAAACACAGCAAGACCCCATCTCAAAAAATTTTAAAAATTGGTTGGGCATGGTGGCGTGCACCTGTAGTCTTAGCTACTCAGGAGGCTAAGATAGGGAGAGCCCTTGAGCCCAGGAGTTTGAGGCTGCAGTGAGCCAGTGAGCTATAAGTGCACCACGGCCCTCCAACCTGGGCAACAGAACAAGACCCTATTACAAACAACAACAACAACAACAAAGATGTGAAAAGATTCCTTGGTCATTCACGTTTCTTAAAACGTTATCGCCTTCTTTCTGCATTCAAAGTAAGTTCTCTCTGGTAAGGAAAGCTAGGCCTCTTGGGGCTGTCAGTGCCTTCCCTTCCCTTTACTAAGTCTCAGGTGTGACATGATTATCTTTTGCTAGCTTTGAGTCTAGCTTAACTCTCATATATTGCAGGTCCAAAAGACTTCTGTGCTCATGGGGCATCCTAAATGCTTAAATGCAAATGATTGGCAGGAAACAGTGGACAACCACATTGTGCATACCTCTTCTATACATGTTCATGTTCCATTGCACTTTGAGACTTCACTTATGAAACACACATTCAAAGGCCAGATTATTAAGAATTTCAAAATGGTGACAGCTGAGCATTAAACCAAGTGAAGGGTCCTTATGACCTTTGAAGTCAGCTCTTGTTTGACTTCTATATAATTCAGTCTTGTCAACACTTGATATTATCAATCTCTTAATTTTAATCACTTGGTGAGTGCTGAAAGATCTCATTTTGGCATTTATTTACATTTCTCTGATCATCTTTTCATATGTATATTAGCCCACTTGGCTGTGTGTGTGTGTGTGTGTGTGTGTGTTAGGTTCTTGTTCCAGTCTTTTGTCTATTCCTCTATGGACTGTCTTTTTTTGGTCCAGATTTGTAACAATTATTTTTATATTCTGAAAAGGAGCCTTATGCAGGTTACATGTATAGCAGATATCTTCCCCTACTCTATGGCTTCCTTTTCACTCTCTTATGCTATATTTTGATTACTAGAAATTCCTAATTTTAATATAATTTAATTTGTCTATCTTTTTCTTTGAAGTTAGGTGCTTTTTTGTATCTAGTTTTAGAAATATTTGCTTTTCTCCAAGCCATATTCTCCTATGTCCATTTCTTTAAGTTTTATTGTTTTCCCTTTCACATTTAGATCCACGATCTGGAATTTATTTTTTGTAACTGGCAAAAGGTAGAGGATCAAACTTTGTTGATGCTGTTTTTAGTCAATACAAAGTTGGGTTCCCAGTTCAGCTCCAGTTTGTCCTCTTAATAAATTCTATTATTATGATGGAGCAGAGAAAGAGAGGGATGGCTTCAGGTTAGGATGGGAGAGAAAATGGATTGCATTCCCAGTGTCATCTGAAGTGAAACTTTTCTCAACAAGCTTTTTAAGTCCTCTCACCTGTAGAGTAGCTAAGGTGATAGAGGTCATGTTCCTTTCACCTATCCACTCAACAAATTGAAATGAGGGAGCAAGAACAGTGGCTCATGCCTGTAATCTCAGCACTTTGGGAAGCCAAGGTGGGCGGATTACTTGAGTCCAGGTTGGTGAGACCAGCATGGGCAACATAGAGAAATTCCGTCTGTATAAAAAATACAAAAAATTAGCTGGGCGTGGTCACCTGACCTCAGGAGGTCGAGGCTGCTGTGAGCTGAGATAGAGCCACTGTACTTGAGTCCAGGTTGGTGAGACCAGCATGGGCAACATAGAGAAATTCCGTCTGTATAAAAAATGCAAAAAATTAGCTGGGCGTGGTCACCTGACCTCAGGAGGTCGAGGCTGCTGTGAGCTGAGATAGAGCCTGGGCGCAGACTGAGACTCTGTCCCAAACAAACCAACAAAAACAAATATAAATGATATGCTTGTAAAATGTTTGTAAAGTCATAAAAGATAAAGCTTTTTTTCCCCTTGTCCTTATGGAAGTGAGGTTAGTTCTTTTGGCAAAAGCTTCTAAGAACGTCAAGTTTAAGGATTTAGTTTCAGAACAGACTGTTCCACAACTGTTCTAAATTCCACTTGCTAAGTGTTTGGGTGCTGTGGTTAAGGCGAGGACTGGGCAATGTGGGTAGATCAAAATAAACTCATAAAAACAATTCCAAGGGACCCTAGGATGACACTACTCTGGGTATGTCTACATCTCTTTATATTGGAATGACAATAATATAAATATTCACTCTAATCCATTGTATTTGCTACTGTCATCTCTCTCTTAGAGTAGTGCAACTTTATCCCCTTTTCTCTGTCTCTGGTCATGGCCCTCTCCAATATATTACACTTCTGCATAGGAATGATCTGGCCTTTGTTTAGCTATCCAGCTTCATTCTTTGCCCCCTGTCCCCTATACCAGCTGAGCTCCCGCGTCCCTCCTTTTGCAGACGTTGGTCCCTTGAGAACCAGCTTACATCACTACTTTCTCTGGTTGGCTCCTACTTGCCTTTCAGGATTAAATATTACTTCATTCAGAAAGCCTGGTTTATAGAAAGTCCTCAACAAATATAAGTATTATTATTAAGAATAATAGAAGTACAAGTGCATCCTCAGTGTGATTATTGAAAGAGTGGATGAATGAGATGGGTGTTTGCTGAGTGGATGGGTGACTGGGACGCGGCTTCTATCACTTTAGCAACTCCCCCAGGTGAGAGGGCTTACCTCTTTCACTTCAGATGGCGCTGGGGATGTAAACCGTTTTCTCTTCCTTCCTAACCCGGAGCTAACCCCTCTTCCTCCGCCCAGCTGGCATTTTGGAGGCGAGACAATCGACTCGCTCGGGGTTCGCCCGCCGACGTCGCTCGGCTTGTTGGGGCTGGGCTCTTCTTCGCGGAAGTGGGTAGGAGGGGGTTGTGGTCAGCTGAGTGTCCTGGGCTCGGCCGGGGCGGGTAGGGGTGCAGTTGCCGCCATGGCCGATCCCGATGCCCGGTACCCTTGTTCCTCAATCGAGGACGACTTCAACTATGGCAGCAGCGTGGCCTCCGCCAGCGTGCACATCCGAATGGGTACGTTGTCCCCTCCCCAGTGCCTCTCGGCGGCTCGTCCGCTCCGCTCGGCCTCTAGAGGCGGATTTCCGGTTTCGGAGGGCTAGCCGCCACCTCCCGGGACTCACGGGGAGCCCTCGCTGAGCTCCCAGCCCTCCTTCCCCGGGGACCGGAGAACGGGCGCCCTCCTCCGGGAGTCGGCAGAGGCGCTCCCTCCCTTCCTTCCCAGGGGTTGTGGGCTGGCTCCAGGCCCGGGAGGCCTGCGGCTCCTCCCTGTGCGCCCCGGATCCCCAGCGGGCGCCGCGGCGTAGGAAGGGGCTGTCGCAGCCTTCATTTGGCATCTTGAAGTGAAAAGAAACGTGGTGGAAATGAGTTGATGGATCACTGTGACGTACACAGGAGTGGAATCCAAGGCCTGATGTTTTTGCTCAGTGGGGTTCGGTGTGACAGGTTTATAGTTACCGTCCCGTGCTAGGCCGGCAGCTCTCTGACTGCTGTTTACTCTCCTCAGGGCCCAGAATGCATTCAGTGTTATTGAGCAAGTTGCTGGACACAGAAGCTTTCTAAGTCAGTCAAAATGCTGTTAAAAGTTATTACATAGTAGCCAGTGGGCAGAAATTTTTGAATTTAAAATGCTGAGCTTCATCTAAGTGGAAGTCATTGCCTGCTGTAGTTTGGCCGTTCGATCACCTAAGCAGCCCCAGACTTTCAGCCTGTCTAGGCCGCTGGGACTTTTTCTGGAAAAGGAAAGATGATGCGCTAACAATTTTGGTGCCTAGAACTTGTTCTGGAAAAGGAAAGATAAAGATAGTTCTGATGCGCCAAGAATCTTGGTGCCTAGCATTTATATTTTTGGAATTGAATTTTGAAATTATTTTGGCAAGTGAGCTCAGCTCTTTAAAAAACTTGTGGTAAAATAGAGGTAACATAAAATTTACCATCTTAACTCTTTCTAAGTGTACAGTTCAGTAGTGTTAAGTACATTCATATGGTTTTACACTGTTAAAAGAACAACTTTAGACACATTAAATTTAACAGAGTTTGAGCAAAGAATGATTTGGAATTGGGCAGGTCCCGGAACCAGAATAGGTTCAGAGTGACGGGGGCTGCCGCTAGTGGGAGATTTATGGAGAGAAAAAGTAAAATGATGTACAGAAAATAGATGTCAGGTACAGAAACAGTTGATTGGTTACAGCTTGGCTTTTGCCCTGTTTGAACATGATTTGAACACTTGGCCATCTTTGATTGGCTGAAACTCAGTGATTGGTTCAAGCATATTTTGCTTCCTATTTACATATTCAATTAGGTTATAGTTCACTATATACGGAGAAACCCTAGGCTGAACTTAAAATATCTAAAGGGATAGCTTTAGACTAAACTTATACAGCACCCGACATCCAGATTTTAATCTTACAAAACGGAAACTCTGTACCTATTAAACGACTCCCCATTCCTTCCTTCCCCCAGTCCCTGGAACCATCATTTCACTTTCTGTCTCTGTGAATTTGGCTACTATAGATACAATCAGTATTTGTATTTTGTGATTGGCTTATTTCAAGTAGGGTAATGTCTTCATACATCCATATTGTGGCAATGCCAGAATTTCCTTTTTTTTTTTTTTGAGACAGGGTCTTACTCTCACCCAGGCTGGAGTGAAGTGGTGAGATCACTGCTTGCTCACTGCAGCCTCTACCTTCTGGGCTCAGGTGATCCTCCCACCTCAGCCTCCCAAGTAGCTGGGACTACAAGTGCAGGTCACCATGCCTGACTAGTTTCTTTGTATTTTTGGTAGAGACGAGTTTCACCATGTTGCCCAGTCCAATCTTGAACTCCTGGACTCAAGCGATCCTCCCACCTTAGCCTCCCAAATTACTGGGATTATAGGCATGAACCATGGCACCTGGCTGCAGAATTTCCTTTTTAAGGCAGTAATATTACTTTGTATGTATATGCCAAATTTTGTTTATTCATCCACTGATGGACATTTGTTTTGCTTCTACTTCTTGACTGTTTTGAATAATGCTGTCATGAATATAGGTGTGCACATATCTCTTCAAGACCCTGCTTTACTTCTTTTGAATATATACCCAGAAGTGGAATCACTGGATTATGCAGTAGTTCTATTTTTAATTATTTAAGGAACTGCCATACTGTTTTCGATAGGGGCTACATCATTTTACATTCTCAGCAACAGTGCACAAGGTTCACCTTTTTCTACATCCTTGCCAACACATTCTATTCTTTTATTTTTTAAAATGAAAGTAGCCATCAAATGAGTGTGAGGTGATGTGTCCTTTAGGTTTTGATATGCATTTCTCTAATGATTTAATGATGTTGCACATTTAAAAAATATGCTTGTGGGGCATTTATACATCTTCCTTGGAGAAATGTTATTCAAGTCCTTTGCCCAATGGGATAAAAAAAAAAAAAAACAAAAGCCTTTATTTTTTTTTTAAAGCAATTTTAGGTTCATAGCAAAATTTATCAGAAAGAACGGAGTTCTTACATACCCTTTCTGCTTTGTCCCAAGCCTCTTGCACTAATAATGTTCTGTACCACAGTGGAATGTTTGTCACAATCAGTGAACCTAGACTGATACCTCATTATCACTCAAAGACCATCGTTTACATTAAAGTTCACTTTTAGTGTCATACAGTCTATGAGTTTGACAAATGTTTAATGAGATGTATCCACCATTATAGTATCATACAGGGTAGTTTCACTGCCTTAAAAAAAATTCCTCTGTGGTCTGCCCATTCATCCCTCCCTTCCTGCTTATCTTATATTGTCTCCATAGTTTTGTCTTTTCCCGAATACCGTATAGTTGGAATCATTATATAACCTTTCAGATTGGCCTTTTTCACTTATAATATACATTTAAGGTTTTCTACATGTCTTTGCATGGCTTGATAGCTCATTTTTCTTTAACGCTAAATATATCCCATTGTTTGGATGTGCTACAGTTTATTCCTTCACCTACTGAAGGAAATCTTGGCTGCTTCAAGTTTTGTCAATAAAGCTGTTTTGTAAATGTCCACGTGCAGGTTTTTGTGTGGACATAAGTTTTCAATCATTTGGGTAAATACCAGGCAACACAATTGCTGTATTGTATAGTAAGAGCATCTTTAGGTTCATAAGATATCACCAAACTGTCTTACAAAGTGGCTGTACTATTTTGCACTTCCACCAGCAATGAATGAGAGTTCTTGTTGGTTCCACATCCTCACCAGCATTGGATGATGTCAGTGTTTTGGATTTTGGCTGTTTAACAGGTGTGTAGTGGCATCTCCTTGTTGCTTTAACTTGTAATTCTCTAATGATTTATAATGTTGAACATCTTTTCGTATACTTATTTGCCATCTGTTGTTTTTGTTTTGTTGGTTCTTGTTCTTCTTATTTTTTTCTTTCTTTTTCTTTTTCTTTTTCTTTTTTTCCAAGACAAAGTATCACTCTTTCTCTCAGACTGGAGTGCAGTGGTACAATCACAGCTCACTGCAACCTCAATGTCCCAGGCGCAGATGATCCTCCCACCTCAGTCTCCTGAGTAGCGGAACTACAAGCACATGCCATCATGCCTAGCTATTTTTTTTTTTTGGTATTTTTAGAAGAGATGGGGTTTTGCCATGTTGCTCAAGCTGATCTCAAACTCCTAGGCTCAAGTGATCAAAAGTGCCAGGATTTCAGGTATAAGCCACTGCGCCCAGCCAATCAAATGAGAAAAGGGCAGTCTCTTTAACAAATGGTGTTGGGAAAATTGAATATCCACATGCAAAAGAATGAAATTAAACCCTTACCTTACACCATATACAAAAATTACCTCAAAAAAGATCAAAGACCTAAATGTAAGACCTAAAACTATAAAACTCATAAAAAAAAAATAGGAGGACATTGGATTTGGTAATGGATTTCTTAGACATGACATGAAAAACAGGCAACAAAAGTAAAAATAGATAAATTTGACTACGTCAAAATTTAAAACATCTGTGTATCAAAGAACACAATCAACAGCGAAAAGGCCTATAAAATGGGTGAAAATATTTGCAAATCATATATCCTGTAAGGGGCTAATATCCAGAATAAATAAAGAAATTCTGATTGGGCACAATGCCTTACGTCTGTAATTGCAGCACTTTGGGAGGCTGAGGCAGGCAGATCACAAGGTCAAGAGTTCGAGACCAGCCTGACCAACATACATGGTAAAATCCTGTCTCTACTAAAAGTACAAAAATTAGCCAGGTGTGGTGGCATGCACCTGTAATCCCAGCTATTCAGGAGGTTGAGGCAGGAGAATCGCTTGAACCCAGGAGGTAGAGGCTGCAGTGAGCCGAGATTGGGCCACTGCACTCCAGCCTGAGTGACAGAGGGCGACTTTATCTCAATAAATGAAAAGAAAAAACGAAATCCTACCATTCAATAACAAAATAAAACCTGATTTTAAAGTGAAGAAAATCAGGAGAATAAGACAGAATACATACTGAGAGAAAATATTTTCAAAAGGTATGCTTAATTAAGGACTGTTATCCAAAATACACAAAAACTCTTAAAACAACAATAAGAAGACAAATATTTATCTGCAAAAGACTTGAACAGATACCCCACTAAAGAAGATTCACAAGGTTGGATGCAGTAGCTCACACCTACAATCCCAGCATTTTGGGAGGCCAAGGTGGGAGAATTCACCTGAGCTTGGGAAGTTGAGGCTGCAGCAAGCTATGATTGTGCTACCGTACTCCAGCCTGGGCAACAGAGTGAGACTGTGTCTCAAATAAAATAAAATAAAATAAAAAAGGATCATATATACAAGGATTTATTTATTATTGGAGCTCTGTTGTATTCTGTGAGATGGAGTCTCCCTCTGTCCCAGGCTGGAGTGCAGTGTGCGATCTCGGCTCACTGCAACCTTCATGTCCTGGCTTCAAGCTATTTTTGGCCTCAGCTTCCTGAGTAGCTGGGATTACAGGTGCCAGCCACCATGCCCAGCTAATTTTTTTGTGTTTTTAGTAGAGACAAGGTTTCACCGT